GAAACGAGTAAAGAGGATGGATGGATGGATGGATGGATGGATGGATGGATGGATGGATGGATGGATGGATGGATGGATGGATGGATGGATGGATGGATGGATGGATGGAATCCAGTCTTTTCTTTTGTCTTAAAATGAAAAAAAAAAAACAATAAATGTTAACAATCATTAGATGTTTTTAGTTTCATAATTTCACGCCTACTGGCCAGAAAAGCCCCCTCCAACAAACTTAAAGTGGCCCATGGGCCACCAGTTGATAATGACCATTGTAGCAGGTTTTGTGGCTCCGAACACGTTTAATTTAGTGAACACGAGCAGAAATGGCCCTTTCGCTCGTAACGGTTGTAGAGCCCTGTTCTAGACATTGATTTTGAATTTCATAAGAGGGATTTTAATTCCAAAGTGGATTCCATCATTTATTGAGTTTTTTCTTTGCAATTTGATGAGAGATAAATGACAAAGCAATAAGGGGATTTTGATGTTTTATAACCATAAAACGTTCCATTAACATTCAAGTATTCAGACCCTTCATTTTGTCCTTGGTTGGAGCATTTGTGACACTTTGGTGCCGATGGCAGTCGTAAGAATAAGGGCACAATTAAAAGGTAGAAACTGAATGATGTTGAGATCGTGGCAGGAAAACAACATACATAGATCATCAACTGTGAAATGTTAGATTCTCCTTTTTGTGTTTGTTGGACTGCAATCTGTCATTTATCAAATTATACAAAGACTAGGTTTCTAAACCTTTGAAGGATGTGAAGAGTTTTTTTCAAGCAAAAAACGCCAGTCAGTAATATTATTTCAGTCCGTAGCTCGGTCTGTGATAAAGCACGTGTTTATGTCTAGATATTTTTCCAATTATCATGAGGTGACTAACAGATTTGTGTTTTTTTATTACAGATAGGAGGAGCTCTGTTCAAGACGTCTGTGTCAAAGGTATTTAGTTCTGCTTTTGTCTGTGCAAAAATAACTCTCAATTCCCTGAAAATGTAGGCAGCAGACCACAAAGGACTTTTTTTTTTTTTTTTTTTACATCTACAGCGAGAAAACGGTATTCTTGAATATTGGTAAAATAATTTAAAAAGTGTGTCTGTGGTAATTGGTCATGGAGCTGCAGAGCCCTGTTCAGGACTGATGAGCAGTTCTGTGTTAGAGGCCGTACAATAGGTGGTCAGCGTGCCCTTTCATGTTATCGCCTCCTGTTAGTGTGCGAGGCTGTCTTATCCCGCCTTTTGTCTGCGTGTTTGCGCCACGAGGATCAAAGCATTTCTTGATGTTACATGAAACCACATCAGAATGTTAATGCAACATGTTTTGATTAGTAATCCATCTGTGTGTGTGTGTTTTATTTCCCCCCTCCTAGGCCAAGGTTCATGCCAAGAGGGGCATCCGGGACATTAAGGGCAGACTCAAAGCTAGGGTGAGCCGCATGAACCTTCACACCTTTCTGACACGTTTTGCGGAGCATGGCAACACACATGTACACAACTGTGTTCAGATAGACGCATGCCTCCCTCATGGAAACAGACAGGAAGGCTGCTTTACATGGAGCGTGTGATTCTGACGTAGGGGTCTTTTAATGACTGTTGAAGCCTGCTTAGCGCTTTGTTCGAGGCTGTACATTTTTAACTAGCGCCCCTCTGGCTATGGCCTGTCATGTCATGCGAAGCCCCAGCCCTTCTCTCTTTTATTGTCTGCATATTTCATCAGCGAGCCTGTGATTCCCTCAAAGCTAATGTAACGAGGTGTATGTTTCCATAAAGCCTGATGGATTTGATAAGGCAATAGCAGTTTGATGTGTCAGTGGGAAACAGAGGAAAGAGGGCGCAGTTCGACACCGTGTTCGCACTCACAAACACACAGGAAGAAATCTGTTGCTTGAAGTTAAACGTGTTTCCTGCTCATGCAGAAGACAAATTAATTTGTGGAGTCACTTCTTTTTTTGGGGAGGGGGGCTCAAAGTTTTGCACCAAACAACCTGTTCAGGGTTTAATTGTGATGTTGGTGAAACTTGAATGAAAAGTGTTTTAAAAGATGAAACCAAGAGTTATCTGATAGTTTATTGGCAAAAACAGTCAGTGCAACAGCTTTGAATACCCTGTTATTAATTAGGGACTGCCTAATAAGGCAGCCACCTATTATTATCCACCTGACAAGAGTTTCTTAACTTTATACCCGTTAACTTCAATGCGGCCCAAATTGCAATGTGTCCCCCAACAAATGTTATATCAAAACGTCCAGCTCGGCATTGTAGTGAGACACGTGAGGTACGTGTCACTTGTTGTATGACAAATATATGAATTATATATGCATACAATATTCACGAGTTCTTCATTTTTCTGACTGTAAATGCCGTGCATTGAATTTAACAGAAATGTGAACGAGAGACGTTATTTATCTTTGACCCATCAAATGAATGGAATCATTTATTTTCAAAATCAAAGTTTAACATCAAACATTTACATTAATTTGGCAAAATATGAAAATAATAACAGACAGTTTCACAGAAAATGAACTTCAAATCACTCGGCGGTGATTTGAGGACTTTGCTTCAGACATTTCTAAAAATATCTGTACTGTTTTATGAGAGAGAGGTGAGTTTAAGAGTAAATTGAGATTTATCTTACAGAGGAAATGTGTGAGGGAATTTAATCTGTTTGACCAGAAGTTGCACGCTCCGTCAGATCTCCAGCCTGTCCACGGTACACTTTAGTCGAAGAAGAGGCCGTTACCTGGTTGATGATAGATCAGCTCAGTAGGAATCCTTTTCAACTGATATCAGCGTCTCCGTTGAAAACAGCTAAAATCCTCGAAGAGTCGTGCGTGGTTAGTTCAAAACAGAATTATAATCCCAAAACCTCTGGATTCTTCATTGCTCTGAAACTTTCAGAACCGGCTGCACTCTCAATCTGCTCATTCTGTTGGACTATCGGACCTGTTGTCAGCTCTCAATCCAACATCTCTCAGAACTCTCAATCTAACTTGAACTGGGGAGTTGCCACATTTTATTTGGGTCGACTTCCTGTTCAATTTAGAGCTTTCTGATTCGTGGAAGGACCAGAAAGAGGAGTGGTTTTTGACGTAAGGTGTTTATCAACAGTCGAGGTCAGAGAATGAAACTTGTTTAACATACAGAAAAGATTATTGCAGAAGCAGCAGACTTTTTGGAGTCTACTCTTAGTAATCTTCTGAAAAAGTTTAAACATGACATTTCTTCTTCAGTAAACATTTTAGTTGACCGAAGACCAACCTTTCACATACTTACGACAGCTTGCTCATTTCAGACAGAAAAATCAAGAAAGGCATATTCAGGTGATTTCTGCTTTGAATGAGGAACAAAAATCATTACTTACTGTTTATGTAAAATAAAAATTAGTAGTTCTTTTCAACCTGTAAAGCATTGAGTGAACTAACACAATTTGATTATCAAAACATTTGTAAGACAGTAATGATTATAAAGAATTGTCTTTTCTGCTTGATTAATTCAAGAAAGAAAGTTCATCAGATGGTTCAGACTTATTCAGATCAATGAAAATAACAGTCTCTGTCCATCTGGTAGATTTGAGGTTATCTGGTTCACTACAGCATCGTGATGTCTATTATTTACTGGCATTTCAAGTTACCATGGCGATGTAATTTGAAAACAAAGATGCCACTGTTATTGGTCATTTTTCATAGACTGGTTGCAAATCAAATATCCAAGATGACCGCCTGAGCTCAAAAGAGAAGTACTGTAAATCAGCCATTTTTAGAGATATTAAGCTGAAATTTGTTGTGGTGGTAGCTGAGATCAGTGCCCAGTAAATAATTTAAAAAAATCAAGATAGCCACCAAAGCTCCATTTAAATGGCTTTAGCTCTGCTATTTTTACACATATAGAGTTGAAATTTGGTGTGGTTATAGCTGAGAACCTTCCCCATCACATACCAAATCCAAGATGGCCACCATGGCTTAAAAGAAAAAAATGACTTTACCTCATTGATATTTTACCATTTGAAGCTAAAATTTAGTATGGTGGCAGCTGAGAGTGAACTCCAACTCTTAATACTGTCAAATCAAGATGTTTAAATGGCTGCCACGTGACAGTCCCCTTCAAAGTTTCTCCAGGAACTTTCTAGTAACATTTGAGCTCTAACACAGTGAGAAGCTCAGCCCAAAGGGCAGTGGGGCTCCATTGAATTGACAAAATATCCTATTGACACCCTGAATGTTCTTATGATTTATTGCAGTTCGCAGCGTTCCTTTGCAGTATTGATACTGGGCACATTGATATAACTAAGGGGGTGATTTGAGGAGCCAACTAGAAATAGGAACCGTCTAAACAAACTGATGCATAGATTAGTTCAGGTGTGCGCACCTTCTCGTCGGGATTGATCAGTCGTCAGACAGAACGTCTCAGATTTATATTCATCTCTCAGGAAGAAGAAGAGAACGGGCCGTCAGTCTGCGCTGGGTCTCCTACCAGCACCAAGAGCCTGTCTCCAAGGAGACTGCAGAAGATGAGACGGGTACGATGAGCGTGCACACACACACAAACACACACACACACACACACCAGTAAAGGAGTTAACTACATTTACAGCAACTGATCGCATCATAGCTCAGTTTTCACTTGACCGTCAGTTTTCAACTCCTGCACTCTTTTCTGTCCACTTTTTATTCTCTTTGCCCCCACCCCTCTTCCCTTTCTTGTAGCTCCAGATCTTTTTTCTATTTAATTGCCATCTCACCTCCCCCCCCACCAATCCTCTCTCTCTGTTGGAAGTACAGTCGTTTGTCAGGATTCCAAATATACTCATAAGCGTTTTTGTTTTTCGACGCTCTCGTCGAACGTTCAGTGTTTTCCTCCGAACAGCACGGACAGTTGAAGCAACTCATCTGCTGGTCAGCATTTCCTCTGAAGAATTTGCTTGTGCACTATAAGTGTGTGTGTGTGTGGGGGGGGGAGAACAACCTCTTATCTTTGTTCTGTGCAGAGCCGGAGTGTGTGATGTGCAAGCACTTGCATGATCACGAAAAAAAGAAAACACACATTCATCAATAAATATATGAGCAGAGTTAAAAAAATGTTGTTTTGGTTTAATTAAAACAAGACCGTGGCTCAGTTCAAGTGGAGAACGTGCACACACTCGGTGTAAGAAGTTTAGTTTCATGCTATTATAATTACACACTTCTGTACTAAACTCATGCACACAGCCTTGGGGACTCTGGTTGGATAATCTCCCACCTCGTATCTACACCTCTGTAGTACCAGCTGGAGCTTTTCCACCTCTTATTTTTAAATGTAAGTGGACTCCAGATTCTGTTAAAAACCAGCCACACAAAGAAAAAAAAAAAACATGCCTGCATGCACACACTGACATTTTGGTCACAGCCGTGGACGGGTGTGATTAGGAGAGGTTGTGCTGTGTCTAATTAGTGTTGTGTTTCCTGTGTGTGTGATGAGGCTGGAAAGTCTTAGCACGGGGAAGGTGTGACGGCCGGGGGAGAGGAGAGGAACGGCAATTAGGGATTTTCTAAAGGCCTCCTCGGACACCCTCCCTCCCCCCTTGAGCTGGTGCACACACAGATTGACTGTTACATGCGCGCACACACACCCACCGGGTTCAGGATACACACTCACACCCCTGTTTGTGCCACTGAGGCCTGCTCATTGCCACAATAACAGGTCCCTGGAGACCACTGGAGGAGGGACAGGCGGGACCGGCGTGTCCCACAGCACAGCTTTTGTGTGTGTTTACAAGGAGTCAATCACTTTCTCCTTAATCAGACACACTGCTCATCTCATTCTCTTTGACTGCCTTCAGAACATCACTTACAGTTCTTCATGTTAGTGGAGAAATCAAGCGCAAATAAAGGAGAAAAACGTGCAAGCCCGCCCACATTTTGTGCCCAAGATGTGATGGTTTCCTGTCAACTGCAGGTAAAATTCCAGAAAAATGGGGCCTTGTTAAATTAAGACTCATCAGTGTGTATTAATATCTAAAAGGCTGAAACAATATATATGTTTTCTGTGTTTGGTACCTTTTGGAAACTTAAATTAAATGTACAATAGTCCCTCGTTTATCGCGAGGGATATGGACCCTGAAGCCCCGCGATAAGTGGGAAAACTGTAAAGTAGACATAGTAGCACAAGTAGTAAGTAGTAGGATTTTTTTTTGTATATATATATATATATATATATATATATATATATATATATATATAAAGGTGTTTTAAACTCTTCCCACACTCTTGCAATATTCTAGACAATGTTTCTAAACTCTAAACACTCTAAAAGAGCACAGAATGTGATGATGTCAGCTCTCTGCTTCCTCTCGGTTGCTTGCAAGCTGTCTGGGCCACGCCCACTTCTCCGCTCTGCACAGAAAACAGCTGATCAGCTGCAACAGGAAGCTTTTCCTGCAGTATGGGCTGTACATAGGTGCTAAATAATTATTGCAGGTGCTAAATAATTTAAAATAATTTATTTTAAATAAAAATGCCATGCCGATAAACAAGGAACTAATATATACTGTTTCTTTTTACACTTTATATTTGTTATTTTGGGTTTAACTGGGACCCTGTGTACATAATTTTGTTCCACCTCATGTACCACATGTGATGCGAATGACAATAAACTTGACTTGAACTTGAACTAAGATTGATCCAGCCAAAGGGAGTCTGCATGTGAGAAAGAGCTGTTTGTAGGTAATTTCTCTCAACCATTATTTAACCATGTTAATCCCGCGAGATTAATTTCTAAAAGCGAAGGAACATCTGGTCAAACCAGTTGTGGGCAGAAGAACAGTATCAACACTGTATAGGAAGCAAACTCAGAAGGGAAAAATAAAAATACCAGGTGAGAAACACAAAGGGAGGAGGAGCTACGGCTGTTTTCACCAACTGTAATGTAAGAACGACAAACAGGCAGGTAAAAACTAATAAACTGTGGGAAGTAGAGATGAAAGTCCTGCAAAGAAACTTTATCAAATTAAAAACTTACACAAACATTCTGTTGCTATAAGATGTAAAAGAAATACAGTAGTCCCTCGCTACTTCGCGGTTCGTTTATCGTAGATTCACTATCGCAGTTTTTCAAAATAAGAGTGGTCATGACATACAATTAGCTGATTGATGGATGAGCCGCACGATCGCAAGGGATCCGCACACTGAAGCCCCGCGGTAATCGAAAAACCGCGAAGTAGGAATAGTAGTACAAGTAGTAAGTAGTAATTTATCTTTGAATATATCCTGATGCATGCTCAATGCATTTGAATATATATATATATATATATATATATATATATATATATATATATATATGAATGTGTTTTAAACCCTTCCCACACTCTTGCAATATTCTAAACAATGTTTCTAAACTGAATGCTCTAAAAGAGCACAGAATGTCATGATGTCGGCTCTCTGCCTCGCTGCTCTCAGCCACCTGCAAGCATTCTTGGCCACGCCCACTTCTCCACTCTGCACGGATATCAGCTGATCAGCTGCAGGAGGAAGCTTATCCTGCAGTGTGGGCTGCACAAAGGTGCAGGAGGTGCTAAATAATTTAAAATAATTTATTTTAAATAAAAATTCCATTGCAAACGTGCGGCTCACCCATCGATCAGCCAGTTGTGTGTCATGTCCAATCTTATTTTGAAAAACCACGATAGAGCGAGTCCACGAAAAAAGAACCGCGAAGTAGCGAGGCACTACTGAATAAGTTTCTAACACTAAGATAAATGCTAAACAAACGCCAAAGGGTACGCTAAAAGATCTAAGATATACGCTAATAATGTAAAACAATACGCCATTATAATAGTCCATTATTTTAAAAAAATGAGCTCTAACAGTTGGGGTTTAATCTATGTGCCCTCTGTAGATGCTGTGTTAAATGACAGTTCTTGATTGTCAAAACTAAACTAAAATTAGACTAAAATAAAAGGTTTTCACCCAATTCTTCTGGGACCTCCGGGAAGATGGCTCCTGTGTACATGGCTTGCCGTCCACCTCTGCTGGCGGGCACGTTTGTAACAGTTGCTGTTTTAAATGTGCTTTATAAATAAATTTGACTTGAAATTTCAGTAATTCAAAAGAATACTTGTTCTTTAAGCAGTGAACAGTTTATTCACCAGCTAGTTTTGACATTTATTCATTAAAAGCTCTGGAAACATTTAGAGACGTCCTGACCATACAGTACGCAGGGAAGCAAATTCCTGTTTCATTTCCATCATATCTTTTTTATTTTATTTTTTTAAGCAAACACTCGTGTCTGTCCTTGAAATGAACTGAATGAAGCTCCTTTAATTAATCACAGGGAAGTCAGTCTGAGTTATGGAAATAATTTTCGGTTTGATCAGCCAGCTCGTGCACCGACGTCACGTCTATGTGAGCTGCGTCCGCTGATGTGGGTGATTTGTTGTGTTTGAAAGTGTTGATTAAGAAAGTGGCAGGAATCCGTTCGTTTCACAAAAACAATATGGAAGTGGATCGCTGAGTTCTTCTTGTATGATACAACAAAGTTGTGTGAGATTTTTCTGCACCGGATTATGTTTAAGATTGAGACTTTTCTGTGTTTGGGTGTGTATTTCATCTGTGCTGCAAATGTAAAGTAAGCGTGCAGCTCGGCCTTTTATTACAAAGAAATATTGAGCGTGCGGACTCGGTGTGCACAAACAGGCATGCATTTTGCAGTTTGCCTCAGGTTGGAAGCAACAGACTGACAGCTGTTGGCAGCACAGAGGTTTGGACAGTGTTATGGACAATGACAGCCAGCAGGCTCGCAGCCGGACTCAGCCCCAGGCTCCGGACTCTTCACCTGGCGAGGCAGGAGGGGACGCCAGCCTGGAGAGCAGCTCGGGGTTGAGGGGAACCAGGGGGCGGACACAGATGTAAAACAGGCACAAGTGTTTAAAGATGGCTGGATGTTCGAGTTTTTGTGTCTCTTCCTTCAAATAAGTCACTTATTCATGATCACTAGTGTCACATATTCTTTTAACTTTATTAAAAAGGGATACATGTATGTCGTGAAGATGATTTGCTCTTACTTCAACACGTAAAGAGTTAATTGCATTCAGTATTTGAGCTAAAAAGCTTTTAACTTTGATAGTATTCAAAGATTCTGTGTGGAATGACTCACCATAAATTAACAGATTAGAGATTATAAGGCGTATTTGATTATCTGTGCTGATGTTGGTTGTTGCATTATTTTTGGATAAACGCTAAAGAGACAGAATGTTTTACAGGCGGCCTCAAACCCAGCGGTTCTGTCTGTAGCTGACGTGTGTTTTCATGGTTATTTGTATGGATTTGTTGTCTCCACTTATTCAGTTTCTCCTCTCCTCAGGGACACACAGACTTCCTTTCTGAAACCAAAGTGCCACCTGCTGGCAGGTTTGCAGTACTGCACTTCCTCTGACAAACCACCTGGTCATTTCTCTGACAGAGCGGCCATAAAGGACTCTCCATCCTTTACATTTACATAATTTTTGAAGCAAACTTTTCAGGAACAGCCAGCTGGGCAGAGGAACTGTGAACCTCACCCAAAACGTTTTTTTTCTTCTTCTTCTTCCTCTTTAAACAGGCAAACATAAACTTGGCTGTTTATATGTAAATGCTTAGCTTCTCCCCAAGGTTTGTTTGCATTTAACTAGCATCTCTTTGCACACGCTGCCAAGCTGTGAGATCAGTGCCCGCTCAGAAATACCATATAAAATGTAGGAGCAGCTCTTAAAGTCCACCAGCGTTTGGCCCTGGTGCAGAGGCGTGACGTCGTTCCGCTTAACTGGTCATGCAGGGAAGGAAGGCGAGCGCAGGGAAAGTTTGTTTCAACCAATGCAGCTCCTGCGGTGGATGATGATGGTTTTCCCCTCATAGCTACACAAATAAAATCAAATCAGGTGTATAAATCTGAAGATAAAGACGCCTGGGGTGTAAAAGCTTTAAGCAGCAACACAATATAATTAACATAATCATAAAGTTCACCTCCACTTTATAAAAAAAAAAGTCAAGTCAAGTCTTTTCCATGTACATATTCAAAAATACCGTCTGGAGTTACTGAAATAACTGTAGCATCTTTTTTTCTGACTCAACCTGGCTCCGGCGCTGTCTGCACGGCCTCGCTCGTGGCGGGGAGGAAGGAGCGGCGGAGCCAGACAGAAACGGTGACATCTGTCAGTGGCAGCAGAGTGACAGAGGGAGAAACCGAGAGGCATGGAGCGAGAACCGCTTTTTCATTTTCACCTTTCAGCTTCCCATTAGCCGACAGCGAGGAACTAATGAAGGAGCAGTATGATAATCTGTTGTTCTCCCATTTCGTGCCCTCCACTGTCCTGTCAGGCCTGGGGAGACGTGGGATGGTGACAGAGCTGTCACGGCGTCGGCAGGGGAGAATCTCTCGTTGTAGACGTCTCTATGTTTTTGTTGTTGTTGACTTATTGTAGATCTACTTCTGTTGTTCACCTTTACTTCTCCAGAGAGCCGTTATAGTGTTGATAAAGTAGCTTTAATGTGTGCTTTATCAACTGTGTTGGCCCTTTAAAAAAAAAAAAAAAACAATAACCGCTGGGCTAAATTAGGTGCTTTCATTGTAAAATGCTTTGTCGTAATCAAATTCATCCTAAATGTTGCTCTGCGGGGTCACGGTGCGGAGACAGAATGACAAATTGATAAAGCTGTGAAGTGAGGTGCCTTCCATTTACTGCTCCCTGTGGAACTTCCTCTCAGACGGCACCAGAGCTGTAACCGAGATCAGAGAGCCGGGCTTCTTGACCTGCGTCCGGTTGTGTTTGGGTTCACCTTGATTTAATAAACACCTAGACTGGACGAGGGGCCCCAGGCCTGGCCTCGTTGACTGACTGGCTGCAGCGTCTGCGTGGAAGAGTTCCTGTCCAGAGCAGACCTTCTCCGAGTGTCTCACAGGTGCATCTCCGCTCTGCCGCCCTGCTCCGGCCCCAGATTTACTGCCTTGACACAGGAATCCATTAAAGGCTGTTTAGGGATCCCAGGCCCAAGCCCCTCTGAAATCTCTTTCATTATAGCTGCAAGCTACCATGGAGGGGGAGCGGATCGACCAATCAGCAGCTGCGCCACATGTGTTCACGTTTAGCCCGATGGCTGAGAGGCTTAAGTGGCTACTGCACACATCTCCTTCACTGACTTTTATGGAAAAAGTGGCACTTTAACTCTTTGTATGTTTTGTAATAACATGTGTGTGTGTATGTGCATGTCTTCCGTGGTCAAACAGGCCCTAAATGAGGGCAGCCCAGCCACACGTTACTTTCCGCCTGTCTGGCTGGCACTGTGTCGACTAATCAAGACCAGCTTGGTTCATGGTTTCAGTCGTCACCCCCTGCAACTCGTGCTCACACACACACACCTTTAAGAGTGCTTCCTTCCTTCACTATATTTCTTCCACTTTTTGTTCACTCTCTTCCTCACGTCAAAAACCGGAACACGGTCTACACAACTTTCCCCGTTCCCTTGACTTGAGCCTTGTATACTTCGCTCACTTTTAGAGTGTGCTTTTCTCCGTGATGAGTTTTGCTTTTGCGTCTCGGAGCTCGCAGAGGTGCAGCATAAAAAATTAAAAGAGCTGGAGCTGAACAAGCAAAAATTAAACGAGTAAATAAATAAATAAAATTGGAGAAAACTTTGCAGTGTCCGCTCCTAGTTAAGCACTTTCTTAATCATAAGAAGTGAACCTTGGGAGCGCGTTTTTTTATATAAAGGAAACATAAAGTGGACGACAGTGAGAGGGAAACAAAAGGTGAGCAGGGGGACACAAACAAAGTGTAAATTAGAAAATGAGAGATAGTGTTAACATCAGTGAACATGAACACACAGTGCGAGGAACATGTGCGTCGTAGTGGAAGGCATGTTAATAAGTGGCCTGGGGCAGATTTGGGCTCCCATGGGGGGGAGTCCTGCCCTGCTCTGTAAAGCTTCTGTCTCTTCCTTAACCCGCCCATTAAACACGGTACACAGGTGGCTTATTAAAACCCGCTGTGTCAGACGGCCACGCTGCACACTGATCATTCAGCTCTCTGCAGTGACAAATACAATCACATGCGCCGGTGCCATCATGCAAATGATCAATGTAGTCACCCGCATCGTATCGCTACGGTACCTTTTGCTGAGTTTGGCAAATTACTGCAGGGGATCTTAAAGATTTTTTTTATCCCTAAAGACCCGAATTTGACCAATTTTGTCTCAGCCCTCAAGGTCTCAAGTCATTAAAACAAGCCATAGTTATCTCACCTGTCACAGACCTTCATTATATATATATATATATATATATATATTATTTATTTCTGGTGAATCATTGCTATATGAAAAGCTGCTTCTCTGCAGAACCCCGACTCTCCCTGGACTCTGTGGTTGTCAGGAGTTTTATATTGTTGCAATGAAGCTAAAGTCCCTCAGGTGCACTTTTTGTTGTTATCGTGTTGTTCTGCGTGTGACTGCATCCTCTCCGTTTGGTCGTCTCATTAACAGCAGAACTTCAACAAGTCTCCCATGAGTGTGGGCCCTCGAGATCTTGGTTACGGACTCGACGATGACGAGGACACTGTGAGCAAGTGAGTATCTGAGGGCGTTTTTATTCACCTTTTAATTTAAGCAAATGTGTCAAGATGGGAGAACTTTGGTTTATTGATGGAAAAGTTGATTTAAGGTAGGGAAGTGTTTGGCTGGACGAAATCTGTTTGCTTGAGATGATACTGCCCCCAAGTGGACACATTTAGTACATGCACAAAATCTTTATGTGCCAGTGCAAACATCTAATGTTTGCAGGCATACAAAGAGATATTGAAAGCCTGCTAATTCCTTCTTGTTAAAAACAGGATCTCCTCTGAGGACAGCGGGGACGTTCGCTCGTACACTGAGGACAGCGACGACTCCGACACTTTGGGGCTGGAAATGGACTCGTCGACCTCAGTCCAGATGAACCTGCTGGAGGAAATCCTGGATTCTCTGACCACCACGTCCATGGAGGAAGGAAGGCTCAGCACCGCTAAGAGCCTGGACTTCTTCAGGTCCATGGATGATTTGGACTACAAAGCTCCGGTATGCAAGAATTAAATAAATAAATATGGTTCAGTGCAAAACTCAGTTTGCTGCTTCCAGTGACCCAGACTTCTGTTAAAAAATGATCAGTCAACTTTTCATCAGGCTCTAAAGATTTTTCTAATATTTTCCTTTTCGGCCTTTCACTCATTTTCTGTCCAGATTTTGTACCGAAGCATTTTTTACAGGAATATTTTTCATCTGCTAAGCCTCCTAACTATGGCTTATTAATCAGACGTGCAAAAACTTATAAACAAATTTTAAAAGATTTAATTTCAAACTGGAACTTCAGGCACTTTTAGCAGCTTGCCACAATTTGATTGAACTTCTTAAGTCAAATCTACAAGAAAATACTTAGAAAACCCACAGTTTGACACAGAAAATAGTATTTCAGCAACAGAAAGGTGATCCCCAAAGTGCTAACAGCTGAAAACATGCCATACAGCTGATGATCAGCTGAAGGATGACGTATTTCTCAGGAATTTTCAAGAATATCTTCATTTTCTTTTAGTCTTGACTTTGATTTTAGGCCCGACTCTTCTGTCTTGATTTGGTACATATTCTGGGCCTTTATATGAGTGAAAGAGCAGCCTGGGTTTAAAGAAGATCTTAGGAAAATAAAATCCAGAAAGCCTGAAGAACGGTTGTTGATGACTTTCAGGCAGATGTGGCACCTTGGAAGCGAAATATAACGACACAGCTCCAGATTTCATTCTGTTGTTGAAGTGTTTAAATAAAAATGGGTTTGTGTCCTTTTCCCACCTTTAGAAGACAAAGACCCCCTCATGTGGTGAGTCCACTCCTGCGGTGGAGAGCAGCTGTGGTCCAGGAGGGGATCACGGTGGGTGGAACATGGGTCAGGATGACAGCGCCGTCCATGGAAAACACCTCCCCCCCTCCCCACGAAGACAACCCTCCAAGAGCAGCTTGAAAATGTCTAAAAGACCTCCAGCTTCTCCTGCGCCGCCACCCAGCACAGCTGCACCCCCTGCCCAGAGCAGTGACGTCTCCAGGTCAAACCTGGACCTTCATCCTCCAGAACAACATCCAGGAGGTAACCACGTCTCCAACTCCCCCTCACTGTCCCGTAGAGTCACACACACCTCCCCATCTCCCACACAGCCACACACCTTCAGCTCCCCAGCTGCTGTATCCCACCCAGACTCTTCCTCAGCGTTGAGGGGTCACCTGCGGACCATCTCGGATCCTCAGAGTAACTCAGAACTCTCTGAAGTCCAGAACCAGACCAGCATCCAGAGGAGGAGGGTGATGTCCAAAGACAAGGTGAGGAGCTACCACGAGAGGACCTACCAGAGGCAGGGCTGCAGGGGTCAACCAGAGGGGCCGGGGAGCGTGACGAACATGGCATCCATGCAGGTCCCGTGGCAGAAAGAGGTGTCCAAGGAGGAGCTCCTGGGGCTTGGCCTCTGTTTGGGTCAGGGGGAAGACTCTGTGTCCGCCACGGGGCAGGGTCTGGACCTCCTTGAGGAGATTGACTCAATTTTTTGCTTCACTTCGGGCCTCGACAGCTCCCCGTCGCTCCCACAGGTCCACTGCACCAGTAACAGTCACCACCAGGTCCAGGGAAAAGCCGCGGACAAGTAACGAGAAAGATTTCTGTCCAGCGGTTCCGGTTCTGGCAGCTGTCTCGGTGATCCGCTCCGATTGTCTGAGGACTCCGCTCTTAGGGAAAAGTCTGACTTAAACTGATAAAAAGCCTAAATAAACAAAAAGCCACAGAACGAAAAGCAGGAAGATGCACCGCAGGATTCTTCTTCAGCCGTGTTTGTTACAGGAATTAAAAAGGTAATTTGTTTCTTTAAAACCAGTTCTGTCACTAAAAGGTTAAAACTTATACCGCTGTAAAACTGTGATAAATTAGATCTATGAGAAAGTAAAAAAAAAAAAAATCTCCTTACAGTGGAAACTCTGCTGAAGTGTCAAACTGAGGTCATATTTTTTACAAAGCTACAATTCTATAAATAAAATTACAAGACAAACCTTTTAAGATAAGATAAGATAAGATAGAGCTTTATTGATCCTGCAGAAAATTGTTGGATTGTTTGGAGTAGATGGAGACTTTTCTCTGAACTTTCATTTCACTCAAGTTCTAATTTGTACATTTATAATCTGAGCGCTTCAGTTTAAAGTAACTCAGAGCCAGTTTATTGTAAAACAAAAAAAAAAGAAAAGTGACCAAATCAACAATCAGTGATTTGAACATTTTAAATCATCGGTTTTCACTTCTCTGTTATGACCACCTGGTACTAAACAGAACCAGCAGGCAGGATTTTACAGAAACTCCACGCCGGCCTTTAAACTCATGATGTTTGATTTTAATCATAAAGCCTTAAACGGACTGATTCGATTGAATGTCTTCATCTGAACGTACGACGACGGATACTTTCAGGATCTGGTCATGAAATGCAGCAGAGAAAATTCTGTAACACTTTACAATAAGGTACACAATTTGATTAACCACTAGGGAACAACTCAGGAACGAATCAGGAGCTAATGGGTAGTTAACCAGTATTTACTGGGGAATACACAGCCACGCCTTATTAGTGGACTACTGGTTAGTTATCTTGAAAATGAAGAGGAACTAATCAAGAACTAATGGGTAGTTACCAAGAAAACAAAAGAGGAACGAATCAGGAGCTAATGGGTAGTTAACCAGTATTTACTGGGGAATACACAGCCACGCCCTATTAGTGGACTACTGGTTTGTTACCACAGAAACAGAGGAGAAATTCCCCGTGTGGGTTCTGAATAAACCCTGCACCAGTGAGGTCACAGCTCATAATTGTCAAAAACCTGTTTCCTAGTGATTACTGGTTTTATTGGATTCTTACCACTGATTATCAGTTTCATAATCTTGTACTGGTGTCATCTTAACTATGTCTGACCATCACTTACTGAGTAACAAATCACTGCCTGGCTATTACTTTGTTCACTGATGTAGTGAAGCATCATCCCAAGTACTCACTGAGGAACCAATTATTGCATAATCACTACCTGACCATTACCTACTGTTAGCTCCTGATTCCTTCCACTTTGATTTCCATGGTAACTACCCAAAAGTTCTTGATTAGTTCCTGTTCATTTATAAGATAGCTAACCAGTAGTCCCCTAATAAGGCTTGGCTGTGGTTTCCCCAGTAAGTACTGGTCAACTACCCATTATCTCCTGATTCGTTCCTGAGGTGTTCCCTAGTAGTTGATCAAATTTTGTACCTTATTTTAAAGTGTTACTGAAAATTCTTGATCGTATTCATTTTACATTACAAGACGTGCACGAAGGTCTTTATTCTCATTTTTTTAATGTTTCTCAGGAGTTGTTTGTCACTTTGGTCAGAAGTAAATGTCGTTAACAGTTAAAACAAACGACCAGTAAAAGTCACACTTTGTCTTTTTCGGATGGTTCTCTGCTTTATGCTGCTTCCAGCCTGTCCGACTCTTGATTCGACCTTTCAAATTAAGAGTGGTGGTTTGACGGTAAGAAGGTGATCTTCGAAGGATAGTGATCAACAGATCCCATAAAAGGACCAAAGCAAGCTCCGCTCTGGAGAAGGAAGCATAAAAATGGGTCAGGATGAACAGAAAAGGTGTTTTTATTGACGCTTCATGGTAAATATTACAAGATCCTCGTTAGCTTTGCTCTTTTTGTGGGATCTGTTGTCTTTTTGTCTCCTTGTCCGTCTCTTTAGGACGTCCCTCAGTCTGACTAAGAAGAGTCATGCACTGTAACGTAATGCAACGCTTGTTGATTGTACTGTAACGAAGCAATATTCTGCAGCTCTCAGATGTGTTGGATGTAAAGTGTGCAGAGTTTAAAGTATTTTTATAAGAGACTCTCCTGTGGAGTGAAGTCCAGAAGCCGTGGCTTCACGTCGTTCTTTGCGTCACCACAAACCCAGAGAGAAGAGTGGGGGGGGGGGGGGGGGGGGGACATTTTACACTCTTGGATCGGTACGTTTATGGTTTGTTGTTCTTCTGATTTACGCCAGACGCCAGTCTGCGTGGCACTTTAACAGCAGCTATTCCTCCGCTTTCTGAGTGCTGCTTTGAATTAACGATCCGCTCATAAAATGCTTGGCGTTCCTCTAAAAGCTCAAGAATCGGTCCTGGAAATTCCCAAACAGAAAGCGGGGGAAAAAAAAAAACTTTAATCTGGCCTCCTTCACTGTAAACACTTTAATATACTTGTGTACTATGCAAATATTTAAATAATCCTTTGGAGTTGGGTTAGTTTTAACAGTAAATATAATTAATATAAGTTATGGTTCCTCTCAGAAATAAAATCTGATTATTTTGTTATGGAGGTAATCACCGCGTGTCCCACATGAACATGAAACCTTCTGATTGATCCGAGGGGTGGGGTGTGTGGCGTGCCTTAAACTGTTGGAGTAGAACCAGAACAAGGTACAGAAATATATTTGTAGACCTCACAGAGCGCTGAACATGTTTAGATCATGAACGTGTGGACGCAAGTAAACACGGGTACTTGGAATGTGCAGTGTTTTTATTTCTCACTTTTTTTTTTTATTGCTTGAATTCAAGAAAAAAATCTGTATTTTTTTCAATCTTTTATTATTTCTTTTGTGAATTAGATACTTGATTGTACTCATAGGTTAATTACTTGTGTATTTTTTTGGCTTTTTTATTTTGTTGTTCTTTGTTTTAATAAATATTTAAACCGCTTCCTTTAAGTCACGGGTGTCCAAAGTGCGGCCCGCGGACCATTTACGGCCCTTGTGGTGATTTTGTGTGGCCCACGGCTGCAGTTTAAGAATTTAATCATTTTGGACAGCAACTTAAGAGGTTGATTCAGACTTTTTGCGAATTAGTTGGTAATCCTTTTTTATATGTTTTAAGTTTAACATCAAAACAATCTTCTCAAAATGAGCAATATTAAGCAAAATACAAACCTTTGACTATAATTTTTTATTTTCACTTCATGGTACAAAGTACCAAAAACCTTTACTGATTTCTACCAGAAAGGAGACTTTTAGATAATGATTCATAAAACTTGTCTAAATATTGCTGTTAATAAAATAATCAAGAGGGAAACTGGACATTTTAAAATGAATATAACATGGTATCATCTACATACAGTATGAGTTGATCAGCTTTATCAAACCTTTGAATCTGTTGTAGCGACTGACAGCTGGATGATTTTTTAGAACTTCGTTCAGCCATTTGGGCCGTCCACCGTCCAAAAGGCTGATCGACCCCCTTTTAAAAGGACATTTACTCAATTACGCTTTTATTACTGTGAACAAACTAAATTAACTTTCCAAACACAAGAAAACAACGAACAAAGACCCAAAACATCAAATAAATTAAATCCTTTTTAATAAGAAAAAATATAAGCTTAGTATTTATGAGGCTTTTAATGTTTTGGATCTACAGAAGTCCCTTATTTATCACGGGGGGTCCGTACCCTGAAAAACCACGAAGTATGAATAGTAGAACAAGTCGTAAGTAGTAGTTTATTTTAGTATTTATATATATATATATATATTAAGGTGTTTTAAACCCTTCTCAGACACTTGCAATATTCTAAACAATGTTTCTAAACCTCTAAAAGAACAGAATGTCATGATTTCAGCTCCCTGCCAGTGCTCTTGGCCACGCCCACTTCTCCGCTGTGGAGCGGAGATATGACACGCTGCACGAAGAAGCTTCTGCTGCAGCTTGGGCTGCACACAGGTGCTAAATAATTTAAAACAATTTATTTTACATAAAAATTCCATTCCGATCGTGCGGCTCATCCATCAATCAGCCAATTGTGTGTCATGCCCAAATCTTATTTTGAAAAACCGCGATAGAGCGAGTCCGTGAAAAACGAACCGCGAAGTAGCGAGAGTCTACTGTACAACAATTTAAAACTTTCTCCACCAAAATTACTGGTAGTAAACTTTTTGTCTTTTCTCCAAAATATTGCTCACGTTGAGTTAACTTCACTTTTTTGTGGCCCTTGAGTTCTTTCATCTATAATTTAGACTCACACGTTTGGACACCCCAGCTTTGAGTTTACTGTATTTCTCCATAAACAACCCTCAGAGGAGTTTCTTTAGTTAATTTCATATTGATGAGAAATTATTTTCAATCCAACAGATGTGTATTTTCTTCTGGCTTGAGTATATTTTATGGATAATATATGATCGGTGTATTGTAAAGAGATGACATCTAAGCTTTGAACGTTGGAGATTTTATTTTTGGTCAAAAGGAGAGAAGATTCAGAAAACGTCCCGTCCATTCCTGAGCAGAAGGTTTTAACAGCTGCGTGTTGGTTCTGTACGCTCTAGTTCAGTTGTTTTTACACGCGTGCTCTGTCGACACGTGTTGTTTCAGTATTTTAACATGTCCGTGAAACGGTGGAAATGAACACGATTCTGTTTCTGCTGCGCGTCGACTTCTTCAGGGTTGAACGTCACCTGCTGCGAACGTTTCTGCTGTTTTTTATGTTTTTTAATTTTTGTTCTACTATAAATCTACCCGTGGAGTACTGTGAGAAAATGTGCATAAACAGCTGCTGCTTAGGGATGTTTAAAAAAGCTTTAGTCACTCTGGTCCCGTTTTATTCAAAAATAAAATATATATATATAATTATTTTAAGGTTACTGAGAGGTTATCTGGAACTGTGCACATTAAAATAATGAAATTATCAGTAACTGTCCTCCAGTCATTATGATAAATCATGTAGCAGCTTAACAAAAATATGAACATCCCCTCAAATGTTACTAGAGTTTGGGTGTTATGAGCGGTACTCGGGTTCCTTTCTTCTTCAGGCTCGTTCAGGTCTTGTGATGATTAACGACTCCATGTTCTGAAGGTTCTGACCATGTGCACACTTGCATGTTTTCATTGCAGCCGAGGTCGACCTGATGTGTAACTTGGTACAACTGCACACGATGTATGCACTGTGAACTGATAATAAACCATTCTGTTTCATGCTCAGCCATCGCAGCACTTGTTTATTTACTTGTTTTTGTTTTTTTGTTCAGTCAGAACCCCGTATGGTTCACGACGGACTTGAGTTTCAGAGTTTAATTCTAATCATTTTGTTTGGATTAAAATGAAGGACCTATTTAGGTGTTTAACACAAAAAAGTAATCGCAATGTACAAACTATACCTGGTATGGGCTGGGTGTGTACTAATATATGTACCTAAAACTTACGTACTGCATACCCAGTATGTAGCCATTTGGTTGTACCTACAAGGAACAGGCCATCTTATTACTCTATACCTATAGGGTGTTTACTCTTGAGGTAAAACTAGAGATTGGACCAGAATTCAGAAGTTGAAGCCACAAAGAACAGCCCCGCCCCCTCCCCGATGGCTGGCTGTCGTACAGTATTTAAGTCCCGCCCCTTCGTAAAAACAAAGTGCACATTTTTCTGGTAATTTTTTTTTTTTTAAGGAATTTCCAATACTTTTTCATGTTTTGTTTTTGCTTACCTTTCTACTGTATGTTAGAGCTGTCATTTCTAACCCGGGCCCGAAGCCCGACCCGAATTCAGGGCGGGGTGGGCCGGGCCATCATAATGTGCTGGATGGGCGGGCTGGGTCGGTGTTGGGCTTTTGTTTGCATCAGTGGATCAGCCGTGATCCAATTATATGGCAATATGGCTTGCGATAAAATTCAATTATATGGCAACATGTCTTGCCATAAAATCCAATTATATCGCCATATAGCTTACGATATAATCCAATTATATGGCAACATGTCTTGCCACAAAATCCAATTATGTGGCAATATGGCTTGCGATAAAATCCAATTATATGACAACATGGATTGCCATAAATCCAATTATATGGCAATATGGCTTGCGATAAAATCCAATTATATGACAACATGTCTTGCCATAAAATCCAATTATATGGCAATATGGGTTGCGATAAAATCCAATTATATGGCAATATGGCTTTTGGGTTGCCATACCTTCACCAGCCACATGCGGCCATTTCACCGCGAGCTGACTGGCCTTGAAAGAGGTCAAATAAAAGTTCAGTTAAGTTTCAGATGGACTGTACTGCCAGGCAACGAAATGATGGCTACGGGCTGAGGCTGGGTCAGGTCAGATTTTTGGGGCCCGAATGCAACTACTGTATGTTTGGTTATTTGAGACGTAGTCAGATTACACTGTGACATGTATTCTAGCATTCTTGCAAGATTGTGTAGGAAAGAGGGTAAAGCCACAGACACGGGTTCCCAAAATACACAACATGGAGCCACCCCAAAAAAACAAAACAAATATTCAGACTTTAATTCAGAATAAAGGGAGAATTTTTCCATAATAATGGTCAACAGAAATGATCAGTCGTACCTGTGGAGACTGGGCTATCATATGAAGGAACTTGTTACCCTGTACTTAAAGGATACTTACTGAGCAGTACCTACAACTTACCGGTACCTGGCATGTACTTACCAGATGTCTGCAGTTAAGTGCCTAAACTTCAAACCTCCTCACTTTGGATAATTAAGAACTGTAAAAAGTCGTAACTCCTAAAGTGTTTGGTGGCTAAAAGTTGAACTCTTGAATCGGACGTTTACCGGCTGCAATATGAACATTTATTTTAGTGAACAGTAGCAACATCGGTCTTGTAGACCTTTTTTAATTTAGAAATGAATGAATGAACCGTGGGTTGAGTCCGGTGAGATGAGCAGGAAACACAAAGTGTGTGATTAGCAACTTTGCACACACGGATTTATTACAGTTAAATCAGTTTATGTACACAGCACAGTCCAGTTCAAATCAAGGTAAAAAAAACAACTAAGAATTCAACATTTCAAACAGAATAATTATGGCAGTGCATATATACAAATACACAATGCAGTGAAGCAGTTACTGGGTCACAGGTCCACCTTTAAAATGTCTAAGTGTTGACAGTAAAGAGACAAATCCTTCAAATTAAATCTGCATTTGTTCAAAAAGTGCCAGTAAAAGAGAAATAGTGTCCGACTAGCTGAAGTTGTTAATTCTGCTACGCTGAAAAAAAAAAAAAAAAAACTAATCTTAATGTAAGTGTTTTCATTTCTATTCAATCCCACAGTTTGTCCTATAAAATAATCCCACTTTAACATGTGCGCTTAAACTACAATAAATTTGATAAAATACAGAAAACTGAATAATACCAGTCTTATTCTTTAAATTAAGGGGTTCTTTTCAGTCCCTTACGCACATGGGTGACGCTTTTATCTGCAAAGCAACAAACTTTTTTTCCAGTTTTCCTTCTTGCGTGTTGGCACAAAGAGCGAGCGGTGCGGTTCGACGTCCTGCAGATGTCCAGGTGGGTCCACGGGGTCGTGTCCTCAGCCGAAGGTTAAATCTCTGCGTCTCATATGAGCCTCTCCATGGGCGGCGGCTGAGTGATGCTCCACATCTCCACTCGGGATCCGTCCTTCTCCTGCCGGCTGGGGCTGTAGGTGCCGTGTGTGGCACGTCGATTAAGCGCCACCACCAAGCCGACGGAGGTCAGGATCAGAACCAGCAACAGGAGGACACAGGCCAGGCTTACAGGCAGCAAGAGGTCAGAGGTCAAATCTTCAGAGGTCAGCTGGAGGGACAGAGTAGATCACAGGTGAGTACCTGGGAACTCCCCGGAGTGTTGTGGCTTTAAATAAAACGCTAAAACACTTTTAGTTGTTTTATTTCCTCACACTCATACACGTTATTCTCTCTCTCATGACTCCTTCACACTACACCAGGCGCTCCACACGTGCTGCCAAAGTGCTGATGGATGTGTTTCCCAGCTCAGCAGGTGGGGTGCGACCACCAGGAGCCCGGAGCCGCCGCGGACCAAAACTTCCCTCCGTCTGCCGCCTCTCTCGCAGCTTGGCTGCGGCGAGCGCCAGCCCCAGCATCGCCGCGACGGCCAAGCCCACCAGACACGGTGCCAGCACGGCAGCCACCCGCGAGCTGTATGGAGCACGCTCCGTCTGTGAAGGATCACAAACAGACTCACACGGAGCCAAGATGCTGCCGGATGATCCCAGCAGCACTGGCACAACACGCTTACACCCAAAATATCTCCCCACACGCACACGCATGCACACAAGTCCTTTAAAGTAGGAATGAAGGCAGCTTTAGATGAAGAGCCTGATTTCTCTCCCAGGGTTTCTAAAACCTGCCTCGAACTTCAAGCTACTCATTGCAACGTCATGATGACCGAAAGTACGAAACAAAATCTGGTTGTTGTGACCTTGAATTTAAAAAAAAAGTATTAGCAAATTTTGTGAGCGACTGCCAGCTACGATGTGTTTACCAACAGAAACAGCCGAAGTGACTGAAAATAGGTCAGCAATGGCGACGTCCATGAAACAGCCGTTTGGAGCTGGAGAAGTTTGATGACGTCTTGGTTTGAATCTTTGCTTGGATTTGTTGAGTAAACTTTACAGATTGAACAGCTGCCTTGCTCCGTTTTCTCTCCTTTTTTGCTTTTTTTAACAGCAGACTAATTCTTATATTTCTAGTTAAACGTCCTACGGTTGTCTGATTTAGCCTTTTTTTTTTACTACACAAACTACAGCTAGCCTAATGTAGGTCACATGATTCAAGTTTCCACTCTGATTCAGCTCAGTGCACTGTTTACATGGAGTACGTACCCACGTTTCTTATCAACATGTCTGGAAAACCACTAAGTAAACGCTTTCACACTACTCCATTTGATGTAATTTGGGATTTAAAAAACCTGTTGATGTTTAATAGTGTGCTTATGAAGCATTCACACTATTGTGATCCATTTTTCTTCCGTACGTTTTTTGGTATCTTTCTTGTTCAGCAATTTTTGTGCCATGTCAACGAATCATATCAAAATGTTCAGCTCGTTCAGGAGTAGAGTGCTATGACTTTTGGTATTGGTGCAACTTTAGCTTTTTGAAATATTTAGCCTTTTCTGCCACTTTGTTTCTCAGACAACATGAACGGAGCTCATTTTACATCCTTCAGCTCTTTAGATGTGTTTACAACCTTTTACTGCTCCTTTCACATTTTGTTTTGGTTCAGCTTCCTTCAGCTTCCTTGTGCAAATTTTAAACAAATTCAGCTAATTTCAACTGTTTTCAGCTGTTTTGTGATCCTTTTAGAATATTTCTGCTATCGACAACATTTTTGTGCTTTTTCCAACTTCTTTTTGCTAATTTCAGCCTTTTATGTTCCTTTCAATTTATTTATACAAGTTACAGCTTTATCTGCTATTTAAGCAACTATTTAGCTGTTTTATGTTAATTTTAGCTTTTTTGGCTAATTCCACATTTTTTCACATTTAAACTTTTTCAGCCTAATTCAGCAAAAATGAGCTCTCCACTTCCTTCTGGTAATTTAAGCTTCTTTCTGCTTTAGCTACTTTTCAGCATTTTATTATTATTATTATTATTATTATTATTATTATTATTATTATTATTATTATAGCTTTTTTCAGATAATTTCATCATCTTTGTGCTCATTTCTGCTTCTTTAAGCCTAATTGCACAAATATGGTCTTGCTGCTTTCTGCTTAAGCTCATTCTACCTTTTCAGCTACCCTTTTAGCATTATTTTTAGCTAATTTCAGCCGTTTTCAGATAAATTCAAGTTTTTGTGCAAATTTCTGCTGCTTTTAGCCTAATTAAAGTATTACTGCTAACTTCAGCTTATGCGCCTTTCAGCTCCTTTCAGCTAGTATTTAACTGTTTTATGCTAATTTTAGCTTTTTCAGCTAATTCCATATTTTTTGCAATAATTTCAACTGTTTTCGGCATAATTCAGCAAAGATGTGCTCTCTCCACTTCCTTCTGGTAATTTAAGTTGCTTTCTGCCTTTTCAGCTGCTATCCAGCTATTTTTTGCTAATTTCAGCCCTTTTTTTTTAGCTAATTTCCTAATTTTTATGCTCACTTCTGATTATTTAAACCCAATTCAGCTAATATGTGTTCTTTCTGCTTTCTTCTGCTAATTTAGGCTTGTTATTCCATTTCAGCTACATTTCAGTATGTTTGTTAAGCCATTTCAGCTGTTTTTCAGCAAGTTGTTCTGCAATAAGCATTCACACTGCATTTTCGCAGGAAATGCAATTTTTCTATTTTTATAGTTTGCGATGAGTAACTTTAAGGCCTCGTGACAATTTGACCTTCACGCACAACAAACATGCACAACCATCACCATCAACTAGAAACAACTGGAGTCTGCACTCAGTTCCTGCCACCGATCACTGCCAATCAGAAATAATTAAAGCCTTCATGATTGATAAGTTTCATTAAGCAGCAGCAAAGAGCAGAGCAGCACTTACACCTGTGGTTGTAGTTGGTGTGCGAGTCATGCGTCCCTGCGAGGTTTCTACAAGGTTACAACAGCTGTAAGTCTCCACAACGCCTCAATTTGTCACTGACAGCCTCCTCAGGACTAAAAGCTTCATGCAGAACTTGTCAGGTTACACAAAAATAATCTCAGAAGTCAGCAAACTTTACACTGAGCAATCAACACGGAAACACAGTAATTCTAATTTAAAATACAACCATCCGTATCCCGAGGCAAAAAATAACTTATGCGCTCGCGCTTGACGCTGTTAGACATGAGAGTTTCTTTCCCCGCGCTGCGAGTTCTTTGTTGACTCTTGGAAAGTGCTTACCTGTCACTGCAGCACAGTTGGCTGTCAGAGCGAGTGTGACACAAGCGAGCCGGAGCAGCCTGCAGCCAGGACCTGCCATCAGTCACCGACTGCCACACACACCGACACAGAGACGTCTAACTAACCAGTCTCTGAGGTGCACAGCAAGGCCACCCTGAAGCCTCACACACACACACACAGCAGAGATGCTTCCCTTCTGTCAGCACTACCAACCTGCTCTGTGTGTGTGTGTGTGTCTGCCAGATAAGCTGCCCTCATACGTTTCTGTGAAGCAGACCAAACTTCTGTGAATGCCACCAGCTCTCTGCTGAAACTGCACTTCAGCGCCAGATGCTGCCGCTTCTTTTTTTCTTCTTTTTTCGCTGGCAAAGCACATTTCTTCCTCTCTGCTTTTCTCCCTCTCAAAGGATGGTCACATAAGTGCCAACACTGAAAAACTGCTTCCCATTTTCTCCCTCTGTCAGGGCTACCTGTGCCTGCAAAGGACACACACACACACACACACTCCGACTAGATGAAACGGCTTGTGTGGTTGGTTGGGCCACATGCAGGTTGTGTTTTTCCTGAACATCCTGAAAGTTTCCAGTTCCTGCAACGACATCCATCCGTCACTGAAACGAACTCATCTGAGGACAGAAGCTGTAATTTATTTATAAACTATAAATAAACTGTGAAATAATTATCAGATAGAAAACTAAATGTATTTTCATGTTGGCCTTTAGAGGATTTGCTTTTTACACTCGTGTTCTTGTGCACGCAGCTGTAAACGTGTTATGGTTTGTGGAACCACGACGTCAACGCTAACGTGATGGTTAAGACTTTAAATGTAAAATCTTGTGTTTTTGTCTCTAACTCAGCTTTAATAAAGCTTAATTAAATACTTTTCATTATTTTTAAAGCTGAGGTTCCTTACTGAGTGACGGTCTTGTAAAAGTCTCCACGCTTCTTGAACGCTTCCACATTTTGTCACGTTACAACCGCAGTCTAAAGTATTTTACTGAAATTTCACGTTCCAACTCAAAGTATTGTGTAGTTGTGAAGTTTTCTGTACAGTATATGGTTTTTTTACAAATAAAGTTCAGGAAAGTGTAATGTGCATTTATATTCATCCCCCTGACTTTGAAGAACCACATTTCTCTACAATGCCAGCTACAAGTCATGTGTGATTTGCCTCCACCAGTTTTGCACATCTAGATCCTAAAGTCTGCACATTCTTCTTTGCAGAATGTCTCAAGCTCCGTCTGATTGGACGGAGACATGAAAATGCTTCGATTAATCTGTTTCATTGGGATGGTTTGGATGGATGTTTTGAGTGGTCCTGCTGGACCGGGAACCCCTGCGCTGCAGCCTCAGGCAGGCTTTCTTCCAGGACTGTTCATCTGCTTCCCATCAACTCCGAGCAGCAGCATCATGATGCTGCCACCACCATGCTTCACAGTGGGGATGGTATGTTTTAAGTGCTCAGTGTTCTTTTTCTGCTGAACACAGTGTGTTACATTCAGGCCAAAAGTTCCATTTTGGTTTATTTGAGCAAGTCCTTCCACATTTTCTCTTTAACTTTATCTCTGACCTATTTAGTGCATTCCTTGGTCTTCATGATGCTGTTTGTTCACTAACCCCTCCTTGGAAATGTCGCATTTATCCATCAATCCATTATCTTCTGCTTGTTCTGTCATCGGGTCACAGGGGCAGCAGCTTGAGCAGCTCTTCTGGGAAGACTCCAAGATGTTCCCAGACCAACTGAGAGGCATCTCTCCAGCGTGTCCTGGGTCTTCATTGGGGTCTCCTCCCAGTCAGCCATGCCCAAAGCACCTCCCTAGGGAGGCGCCCAGGGAGCATCCTTACCAGATGTCTGAACCACCTCAACTGGCTCCTCTAGATGTGGCGGAGCAGCAGTTCTACTCCCAAGTCTCTCCCAGATGACTGAACTCCTCACCCTGTCTTTAAGAGAGAGTCCAGCTACCCTGCGGAGGAAACTCATTTCAACCGCCTGTATCCACGATCTCGTTCTTTCAGTCTCTGCCCAGAGTTTTGTAGCCAGAGGTGAGGGTAGGAACGTAGACCTACTGGTAAACAGAGAGCTTTGCCTTACAGCTCAGCTCCCTCTTCACCCCAACGGACTGGCACAGTGTCTGCAATACTGCAGACGCCGCATCAATCCATCGGTCAGTCTCCAATCTTCCCTTGTCGTATTCATTGTTAATATTTTTTTATTTATATAATTCCAGTGAATTCTTTGAAATTTGTGGTTGTAATGTGCTAAAATGTGCACCAAGTACGGAGGGTGCTGATCTATTTTCATGGCTCTGTAAATCAAGGGGTCAAAGAAATAACCGAGATGCACCGTGTCCTCAGTGTGTGTGAGCGTGACGGCCGTCTGTTTCTGAACTCAGGCTATTCTGAGATCTACATCTTGTTAAAGAGGATTAACTGCGTTTGATGCCGTGGTGTCCACCTGACTGCAGCAAACGCACCATATGAAAGTTACTGAGAAGATTTGAACGTGCAGTTAGCTGGAAATGAGAGTCAAAAAGAAATGGGGAAATATGGAAGAAAAAATGAGTTTAGACATAAAAAGAGGACAGGCAACAAATGAAAGCAGTTTTTTTTTTTTTTATTCAACAACAAAGACAAACAGATGGAGAACGATGAAGGGACAAACGTGAAGTTACAGAGAAAGTCGAGCAGTAACACACGGTTAGTCCGACGTGACAGACCCACAGGACGGGTTTGATTCCGTGTTGACCACAACAACGCAGAGGAACGTTTGGAGCTGCGCTTCAACCAGAGCCGCGGAGAATTTAGGCCTAAAATATCTCTGGCTCAGACAGAGAGGTTTTAGAGATGGAAAAACTTCTTTGGTTTGAAAACAACACGCAGCAGTCAGTCACGCTCCGCTCTGAACGCACATCAAGAACAGGTGAGACATCCGGGGCCACCCAGGAGCTTTTGTAGCTACAACACTGTTTTCCAGAGTTCACATATTCCTCCGTAACCGAGCTCCTGAAATCGAGTTCAAACAAGACTGACAGGATATTGTCAGCAGGAAACATTATAAATAACTCTGATTTGAACATTTTTCTCAGTTTTACCAAAAATGTCTTTATGGAACGCAGAGCGTTCTTCCCTTTGCAACATAAAACCTCCAGATTTTATATTATTTGACCCACAGAGAAGAAGATTTCTGCAGGTTTATGTAGGTCTAAAACTTAGAATACAACTTTAAAGCTAAGGATCTGTCATTTAAATAGCTTGTATATTAAACACATTAAACCTTTTATTCATATTTATCAGTTCCTCGCAGCTCCAGACCAGTCTGCAGTGATAGAGCTCGTGATTATTCGTTAATTGCAGTTTATAAAACAGCTGTTTATTTGCTTGTTCTATTTTATTTATTCAACCTTTATTTATACGGGTAGTCTCATTGAGTCACGAGAACTCATTTTCAGGAGAGACATGTTTGGGAGCAGATGATGGGGGGTTAAGGGCCTTGCTCAAGGGCCCAGAGTGGGGCAAATGAGGGTGGAGGCAGGTGTGAGTGTTTCACCTTTTCCACCAACATTTTGATGTCAGTCTGGGGAGTTGAACCTGCAACTTTCCGATTACAGGACCATCTTTAACCTCTGCGCCACCCCACTCTAGCTGCTCAACGGTGGATCCTCTTTGCTGATTTATGTTTTGCTGGATAAGACTGTGCATTTAGTTTGTTTATATTTATTCTTTGTCAAGCCATAGGCACTAATGCACCCCCATACCATCAGAGAAGCAGGATTTGGAGCTGTAGGTGGAACAGTTCCACACCTCTTTATTGTGAAGGCCATGACATATATGGCTTCTAAAACTAATTTCAAATTTGGATATGCGTGACCACAGAAGGTTTTTGAACCGTGTCGCTGCCATAAAATTCAAAATTATTTTTTTTAATGGAACAATGTCTTAGTTTCAACATTTATTCTGTTCCATATTAAATAAAAATATTTGCAACTACTTGCATTTTGTTTTTATATACGTTTTACTCAACATTGTGGCGTTTTAAAACTGGGGTAGTAAAAGGAGAGATGTCTGGAAAGGCAAGGCATTTTTGGTCCAGGAGCCATAAATTAGTTTGTTGCCTATTTTTCACATGCATGTTCACATGTTGCTCACAGGGGGCATAAAAACACTAACAAAAATATTAACAGCTGTAAGTTACTACTGCATGGACAATACTGGGTTGATACTATTGATTGGATTGAACTTTACACAATTTTATCTGCAATAAAAAACAAATTTACTACAGGGCATCCATTTGCTGTCCATGCTGTTTAAATAAGCAAATTAAATCTGTTTATATAAATACCTACAATAAAGAAAGTGCTGCCAATTACAAAAAGTATTTAAGGCACAAAATATTTCTGTAGTACTGGATATAAAACCCCAGAATCCTGTGTAATGCCCCCTCTCTTTCTTGTCTTTTCTCGTCAGTAATTTAGTCAAACGCACAAACATTTGTCTGCTGAGTCCTGAAGACACACGCTCAAACACACTCAGTCGTTCCCCCCCCAGTCCACCTCCGGCCCGTCGTCCAGCCTCAGGATGAGGTAGGAGAGCAGTTGGAAGAGGTTCTGCCACAGCAGCACAGCCACATAGAAGTAAATGTCGCTTACATCCATTTGGCACACGTCTCCAGCGAAGCTCATGTCGCACACGCAGATGAACTTGTTGACCAGGTTGCGGCAAAAACCTCCGTTAAGACACGGGTTGGACTTGCACTCATCCACTTCCTGCTCGCATCTAGGCACACGCACACACAAACACACACAATCAAAAATCAAAGCAAACCGATCTGTAAGAATGATCGTCCTCGATTAATAGAAAAAGTTAGTAATTTTATATTTTTTCGTTTTTATCATCATGACTTTAAGAAAACACAAGAAACACTTGACACGTAAATGTTTTTCTTTAAAGACACAAAGACTTGTACCTGTACATGGTTAAGCTTCTTACAAATGGTTTCAGAAATATTTCATGGAGTGTGTCTCCCCCCCCCCCCCCCAAAAAAAAAAAAATTTCAGTTTGATTTGTGTTGAACTGAATAAATGGTATCCCACAGGGCTGAACCCTGGGGTCACTTTGGTTTCATTCTATTTATAAAAATAAATAAAGTTAGTAATAAACCTGTCATGTGGACATAGATGTATTCACAGTGTAGTCTTACTTTTTGTCCATTGACGTACTGTGTTACTGGTTTTGGAGGGCAATCATTATCCATTGCCGCAGTCGTTATTATCATCATGCTGCTAATGGGACCATGCTGCTAACAAGACCACACCGCTAACAGAACCATAGAACCACACTGCTAACAGTACCATGCTGCTAAAAGAACCTCACTGCTAACACAACTACATTGCTAACAGTACCATGGTGCTAACAGGACCATGTTGTTAAGATATCCTCACTGCCAACTGAACTACTCTGCTAATAGGACCATGCTGGTGTAGATGAATTTTTTTTTTTTCCATTTTGGCGCCTTGTTTGATTATTTGTTGCATGCTTTGGTATTTCTTGTTTTTATTTTTATTTTTTTTGTGAGTCGAGACAGTTCTTGTCCTGAGCATTTCATTACATTGTTGACCTTGTGTTGATCCGCATATGACAATAAACCTAAACCTACCTGATTGTTGCCTCATTATTTCAATTCGTATCAAGTTATTGTTATTAGATTATTTGTATTGCAGCAGATTTATAATGGGAAATTTTGTTTTACTTTCAATTTACTGTTAAAGTGTTACAAAACACAACAAAGCTGGTTCTGTTTTTATAGTTATGCTCTAATATTATTACCGTATTTTTCAGACTATAAGGCGCACCGGATTATAAAGCACATTGAGCAAAACAAAACAGTCGGATATGTCAAACTTATATTAACTCATTCACAATAACCAGATAAAATCAGTTTGAGGTCAGTAAGCACAACTAGAATTAATACATAAGGTGTGCCTCATTATAAAGCTCACTGTCTATTTTTGAGAAATTAAAGGATTTTAAGTGCGCCTTATAGTCCGAAAAATACGGTATGTTATTTTTTTAATAATTTGCCTGACTCGTTACCAAATTTTTGGAGCTAATGTGCTTTTTTAGCACTTCTTCTTGGCTATATTCTTTATTTGTCTTACAACATTTTTAGTTTGTTTGTGTTATTTGCTGAGCAAAATGGTAAATATGTCTTCTGTGTATTTCCAAATCCAAATAAAAGTTGTTTAAAAGAGTTTACTGACATAAAACTACCCATAAAACTAATTTTGAGATGGCTTTAACATTGGACCGGATCCTATTTGATTAAGTATTTTATAGTCATTTTTTGACATTTGTTTGTTTGTTTGTTTGTTTGTTTTCCTGTCTCCTACCGGTGCCCAATGAAGCCTGGGGGACAGTCACATGACAGCTCCCGGTCAGTGCAGTTTCCTCCATTGAAGCAGGTGTAATTCATTTTGTCGTCACCACACACAGAAACAGGCAGCTTGGGCCTTCTGAAGGAAAAGTTAGACATAAAAAACACATTATTTATCATATTTATGTTTTCCTTTAACTTGAAACAAATGCTACAATGTCCCAGAGAAGAAAAAAACAACCCTGAAGTTCAGGATGGGGCCAGGAAATAAGATTCTTGGACTTTGGCCTACTCAAGCAGGATGTCAAATCACATGTAGATGAATAAAATACATTTCTTTATAATCTGTTTGTTCACAACTTGAAACTCAGTCCTGAGTGGTTACAAAAATATGCACTTATTTTTGAAAAGGTACGATTTTTCGTAGGGGAAGCTTCTTTTTGGATACCACACATCATTTTGAACAACAACTGTCACTCATTTGAAAGAGTTGTTGGCTCATTTGACAACAAACACTGTCAGAAAGAGTGTTAATATTTGCTTTTCTTGGCATTTTGTTGCACACAGCTGAAGAAAAGAACAGGAGGCATCCTGCGTGACATGTGAGAGACAAATATCTAACAGGAAACAAACACCTGAAAACACACGAGAGAAGAAAAAAAACTCACACATTTCTGACAACGATGTACCAAGGAAGTTCTTCCACACGTTCACTGCAGAGGAACAGAGAGGTGAGAGGAAAACATTGTGAGGAGAAAGAAAGAAGCACAAACAAGTGAGACAAACAAAGCAAAGTCATTTTGATGAAAACTATGCAGCATAGATGTTCCCAGCAAAGGGAGAAGGCTCCATTGGTTGCTGTTTTACCACGGCGCTCACAAAGGCTTTCAATGTGCAAAAGAAGGCAAAAAGGCACGAGGCTGTGTGTGTTTACGGGATAAATGCTTGGAGGCGTTCCCCTGCTGGTTCTCAGAGGCAAACGGTAGATGACAGGGGAAAGAAACTGGTGCTGAACCAGAGACTGAGGCCTTTTCTGGCTGACACTAGAATAGAAACGCAGCTTCTGAGGCGCTCGCTGTGACTGCGGTTGAAAAGCTGAACAGAGGCAGAGATGTGGAGACATTTACAGTGAAGGCTTTTGTTCGTGTTGCGCTGCCGTCCCTCGGCTGTGCGTTTCTGGAGCATTTATTTGTGTATTTTGGGGTTTTCTAAGTAGCGTTTTCGCTGTTGTTGGAATTTTGTAAGGCCTTTTCAGAGCATAAAGATATGACAAAAGATTATTTCTCAAATGATTGCTTGAAAGTACCTGAAGACCAGGCAAAGCAAATCTGTGAAGTAAGTATTTTTCTCATGTTCGTGGTTAATGCGTCTTGTCTAATGCAGGTCAATCACGTGACTAAAGATTTCACCTGGTTTTCCTCAAATTTAGCTGATGGCTTTGTTTACATTTAATGCATACCCGCATTTCCAAATTGCACTTAATTTATCTTGAAGACAAGTGGAGTAAAGTCTTTCAAACTGCACCATTAGATATACAATAGTCCCTCGCTACTTCGTGTTCGTTTATCGCAGACTCGCTCTATCGTGGTTTTTCAAAATAAGATTGGACATGACACACAATTGGCTGATTGACGGATGATTCGCACGATCGGCATGGAATTTTTATTTAAAATATTTAAAATTATTTAGCACCTCCTGCACCTTTGTGCAGCCCGCACTGCAGGATAAGGTTCCTGTTGCAGCTGATCAGCTGTTCTCAGTGCAGAGCGGAGAAGTGGGCGTGGCCAAGAACGCATGCAGGTGGCTGAGATCAGTGAAGGCAAAGAGAGGGAAATCATGACATTCTGTTATCTTTTACAGCATTTAGAGTTTAAAAACATTGTTTAGATTATTGCAAGAGTGTGGGAAGGGTTTAAAATGTCTTTATATATATATATATATATATATATACTACTTAATACTTGTACTATTATTCCTTCTTCACAGTTTTTCACTTATTGCTGGACTTCATGGTACAAATTCCTCACAATATACAAAGGACTACTGTAATACTACAACACATTTTTTTTTTTATTTACACAACCTTCAAATGTGATTCATATTACTTCCTCATCACACA